GCACATGAATTGGCACACGCCAGGGGAGGTTTAGATTGGATGTTAGGAAGAATTTCTTCCCCGAAAGGGTTGTCAAGCACCGGAACAGGCTGCCCAGGGAAGCAGTGGAGTCACCATCCCTGGAGGTATTTAAAAGATGGGCAGATGTGGTGCTGAGGGACATGGATTAGTGGTGGACTTGACAGTGTTACGTTGATGGTTGGACTCGATGAGCTTAAAGGTCCCTTCCAACCTAGATGATTCTAAGATTCTACTGCTCTGGGCTGTTGTGTGTGAGGCTCGTTGAGGAAAACCTCCCGAAAGAGACAGCAGAGATGTCAAATACATCTGTCCACAAACATTTGAGTCTAATCTCCAAGGATGTCCTGCTGGTCCTTGAGCAGGATGCGTGTGTGTGGTGTTTGGTGCTGCCATCACTGGTGTTTTCTCCAGCTTGTGCATGTGATGGGCTCTTACTGGTGTTACTCTGCCCATTCAAAGAGCATAAACTAAACCACCGTTGAAGGTAATATATGGCCTTTCCCTTTTGGAGACCGGGGACAGGCCACCTCTGCTTTGGCCATGTAATAACTGTGCAGAGGGAAGTCAGCTGTTGATCTTTACACCACCGGCGAAGAGCGCAGTAGGTGTTTGTGGGAAGGCAGGTTTCATGCCTGTCCTTCTCTGATGCTACGAAACTGGCAGTGAAGCTCGAGCTTTGTCCTGACCTTTGTGCAACTCAAAGCACAGTTTTAAGCTCAGATTTAAAATGGAGCCGTGCTGCCCCACAGTGCTGGGTGGGCTGCCGAGGTGGGTCTTCCTTTCTGTTTTGGATGTGATAAGAGGGAGAAGGCTTTGGGAATGTAGTTAGGGACTTGCATAACTATTAACGGTACATGCTTGAGAGCATTAATGTTCCTCCTACGAGTAAGGTAGGAAATCCCTGGGGCGAATGGATGGGGAGAGGGCTCGGACGGCTCTAGGGGTTTAAATCCTTCCCCTCTGGTGCTGCCATTACACATCACACCCATCTTTGTCACTCTGGTGCTTACGGTGGCCTGGGACCTCATCCTCAGTTTTGACACCTCTGGCAGCCCTGTGGTTGATGGGAATTCTATGGCTGAAGGCTACGGCACTGCTGGGCAGAGTTAGTACGGGTCAAAGGAGACATGTTCCCAGTGTGCCCCGTACAATCTGTGCAGTGAGGTGGGGTGCCTTGGGACTTTAGGAAATCCGTCCCCAGCTCAGCAGCAAGTGGGTGACCAGCCCCAGCCAGAGATCTACAAGAGGATGGGTCTGGAGGGGTGAGAAGAAGCTGGGTGTCCTGCCCAGGTGTCCCTGGAGGTGTTGGGTAGAGAGTGGGGACAGTTAAAAGGAGTGAGCTGTGTTTTTCGGTGACGCATACAGCCCTTCGTGCTGGTGTCACCCAGCACTGCTACCACAAGGCCATGCAGCTCTCTGGGTGTTCTCACCGGAGAGCGGTTTGGATCTGTTACCCAGTGCTCCTTGATGGGGAGAGGTGGGATTTGATCTCCGTGTTAGGTACTGCTTCAGAGAGCATCACCCGAGTGGTGATTTCGGCTCCTCCCTGCTCTGAGCTATCCTTTGAAGCCCTACATGGATAAGCTCTATTTTCTTCTTTGGTGACCGTCTTTCTGCCGCCTCGCTGCCTCTTCTCTGCTTTCTCTCCCACTTACTGTCACCTTTTCTCTTCCAGCAGTAAATCTGTCTTGTCCTGTGAGGTTCCCCTGAACTCGTAGTGTTTCCATGTAGCATTCCCTCTGCGGACAAGGTCTTACAATTATTATGATTTTTTTATAAGGATGACTTTTGCCGGGACTGGTTTCATAGTGCTTCCGCTCCTAAAACGATCTGAAACGAGGTTTGAGGACCAGAACGTGCAGTCCCCTTCCATGCACAACCCTCAGCTCTGTCCCTGCACTGTCAGATGAGGAATTTTTAACAGCTCTCTGGGCTGGGGGTTGACCGCGTCAAGGGAGACATGAGTTCCCCTGAGCTGCAGCCACCCAAAAGCAGAACCGTTCTGTAAAATCGCCACATTGTCCCCCACCAAACCATGGACCTACCTGGTGTCACCAGCAGCCAGTGCCTGGCCCTGGTGCGGGCAGTGGTGTTTGGCAGGGGACCTGCTCCCACCGGCTCTCGACAACCATCTCCAAAGGAGGCTTTCATTTTTGTTCTGCCTTTCCTAAATATCCCTTTCCCCCCCTCTATCATTACCATTTTAAGCAGATGGTGGGCCCATTATATAACTGAGCAGAAGGCTTCATTGCAAAATTTAGCCAAATCGGGTGCTTCTTCAGATAAGACTAAACAACGACTCGTTTCTGGGGTTGTCGGCCCTCCCTGTTCTACTTTGAGTTTGGAGGATGAAGTTATTCTAGGGGGTGAGATCAATGGAAGTCTTCCCCAGTTATTAATAACTTGCTGGAGCCTTGAAGAAACTGTAGGAAAGCCGAAAGGCAAAATCTAGTAAAAAAAAAAAAAGCTGTCCACGCAAGGTTGCGGGATGAGCCCATGGGGTTCAGCATCGCTCCCAGTTGCTTGTGGTGCCCTTAGCAGCTGAGGGCATATGGATCCCATATGATTGGGGTCTATAGGATCCCATAAGGGGTTCCTTCATCCCTGACCATGTAATGCTTGCTTTGGGCAGAGGAGGGAAGTGCACTTGTTGTGATTTTCACAAGCAGTCCCTATGTTTCCCAATTCACAGGGGGGAAATGTCCAACCCAAAGCACCATGAGCAATGCCAAGGAGACCTGCTGGAACCTCTCCTGGTCCTACCCTGGCTGGCTTGGTCCTAGTGTTGGCCCAAAACCCACCTGGCCATGGGGAATCGAGAGCCTGAAGCACCCCTTTGTATTTTGGTAATATTTAAATCCAGCGGGTTTTGATGTGCTGCAGAAATTACAAGGGGTAGTGGTTTTAAACTGAAAGAGGTGAGATTTAGATGAGATATGAGGAAGAAATTGTTGCCTGTGCAGGTGGTGAGCCCCTGGGGCAGGTTGCCCCGAGAAGCTGTGGCTGCCCCATCCCTGGAGGTGTTCAAGGCCAGGTTGGACGGGGCTTGGAGCAACCTGGGCTGGTGGGAGGTGGCCCTGCCCAGGGCAGGGGGGTTGGAAAGAGATGTCCTTTAGAGGTCTCTTACAACCCAAACCCTTCTGTGATTTTTATGATTTTAAATCTAGTGTTTATAGTGCTTGTTGCATGTTTCAGTCAAGGCCCAGCAGATTAGGATGTTCCTGGGAAAATGGAAAATAATTTCAATTAAGTGCATGTTCAAAGCAAGAGGCAGACCAAGGAAACCTGGTCTCCCCCAAAACCATCAATCTAATGAACTGTGCTGGGGCACACAGCTCTGGGGAGGAGCACTTATGTGTTCTTGGGGAGTCCAGAGCCAATTTTGGGGGAGCTATGGGAGATTTGGCTCTTTCAGCACATCATTCGAGGTAGAAGCTTGAGGGTTTTTGTTGAATCCTAAATGATATTTTTTAAGAAGATGGGTTTTAGCACAAGCAGAGCTCTGTGCTTCTGGTAGAGTGCATGTTGCTTGAGCTGTATCCCACTTGTGGCAACCCCGATTCGTGCTGCTGAGCGCCGTTTGAACCTTCGAAAGCCGTGTCACACCACTGTGCCGGCAGGCGTGTGGCTAACGGGACTCCTAATGAGCGCGCTTACCTCTCCCGTCAATTAAAGGTCTCCTTGCCGCGCAGCTGGACTCGGCACAAGGTGCCCGTGGCTTCTTGGCCGAGCTGGCTGGGCATCCAGTGAGGAGGCAGCGGGGCGCTGCCAGACCTGCATCCCCCCAGCAGCCCTGGGGCTGTGGTTGGTGATGGTCCCTATTTGTTGGATGATGGCTCAACTCTACTTTCCAGGAGGTTTTGGGGAAGGAGCTGCTGCCAAGCAGGGACCTCCTGTGGTTCCTGAAGGCTTGACATGGCCTTTTGCCGCAGGTGGGCTCGTTGCATCGGTGTGAACCGCTGCATTTACCCCTCCACAGCATCACTGCACCTCGCAGCTGGGTCTGACCCATGGCATGTCATGTTTGGGTAACTTGCAGACCAGGGCAAAACCTCCTAGGAGCTCCAAAAGGAAGAGGCCAGAAATAGCCGCTCTAGACTCAAGGTCCATGGTTTGTTTTGGGTCCTTTGGCCATCAGGATCTCCAAATTATGCTGTGACCTAAATTAATTGTTATTGTGCCGCTGGCAGTGATTGCGTGACAAGCGCATCCGGCAGCTTCCGGCCACAGCCGGTTCTCGTCGGTTGGGCTGGATGGCCACCACAGCAGAAAACCATCTCCATGAAAACCAGCTGGCCGAGTGAAACGTGGGGGTTTAGAAATGCTCCAAAATCCTTTCCTTGGTGTGCTTGCTGCAAGCGGTTATTAAAAAACCCTCTCCTGGATATCTCTTAGGCTGGAAAAGAGGGATAAACTCGTGGAAACCTATTCTCCTCCATCTGTTTTTAGAAGCGGTGTGGTGGTGGCCACTGCCCCAGTGGGGTTGGTGGCTTGTGGGGCTCCCTGGGCATCCTGCTTCCCAGCCGGCTCCAGCATCGTTGGTACCAGGCATGGTTTTAAGCACCGTGCAGATCAAGAATCAGCACAGAAGATAACCAATCTCAGGGTTTAAACTGTGTGTTTTTTTGTTTTTTTTTTTTTTAACACCGAAGTGGAGTTTTCCCGCTGCGGATTAGTACCCACGTGCAACACAGCAAAGGGGTGTATAATTAAGACAGTAAGCTTAGAAATATTAACTGTGAAACATGTAGTCACACATGCTGAGATCAAGTTAAGCGAACAAATAAAAGGCATAAGCAAATGTACACACTACCTGCAAAGTCCTGCTGGCAGTTCCTTGGGTTTGGGTCTGTCTTTTTTTTTTTTTTGATCCTTATTGATGAGTTACAGCTGACCAAGGGAATAAGGAATCTTTTGGAGGACTTATTTGAAGCCTAATGTTAATATTGCATTCTTATTTCTATTCCTTCTGTCCACAGGATTGAAAAAACGTACAAGGAAGGCCTTTGGTATACGCAAGAAAGAAAAGGATACTGATTCCACGTAAGTCGATGAGATGTAAACCGCATTAATGCGTAATGATGCTGGGGAGAAGTTGATGCCAGTGTGCCAGGACAGGAAGGAAGTCGGTGAATCACAGGCATTTGTCATCCTTGGGTCAAGTCTTGTAATAACAAATACATTTAAGCCGTTTCCCCTTGTACACCCGGTGGCCAACAAATTAAGGTATTTTCTCAGTGGCGCTGCAGAGATAATAAAGCCAGTTGTCCACGTGTTTGCGATTGACGGTGACAGTTAGCGGTGATCAGAAGAAAATTACTCCTCTGAGAGTTTCAGTGGATTAATCTCTGCCCAAACTACCGATTTGCCCGTCTGCTGAGATCCTTTTAGATGCAAATTCAATTTAAACAGATGCCTGCGCGGGCAGGGAGGGCGGCCGTGGAGCGAAGGACCGCGCGGTTGCCGGGGGGGATCAGGACGGCAAAGGTGCATGGGGCTCACAGAGCGCATGCTCCTTCTTGGCTTCCCAGGAAAACATCTGGCAGGGATTTTTCCGCCCACATCTGGTGGGGGTTCTCACCACATCTGGCAGGGGATGCTGTGCATGGGTGCGGAACCACTGGTGGGGCGCTGAGCCCAGCTCACAGAGGGCTCTCGGGTGGCACTGATGGGGTTTTGGGGTTAGATGTCCCAAAGCAGTGTCCCACTCCTGCACCTACAGCATCCTCCAGGTGATTCATGTCTGGCACAGCGAAAACCCTATGAGTTTTTTTCTAGTTCTCTTTTTTTTTTTTTAAAAAATTTGTTTTCCTGAGCTATTTCATATCTCGGCGGCAGTGGGTGAGGTTTCCCGTGCGAAGGGGCAATCACTGCAGCTATGAGGTCTGGCCACGGTCCTGGGGCCACAGCAAGCCTGGCTCCACCGGCCCTTGCGGGGCTTTGCCCACTGCAAAAAGGGGGTCCAAAAATATGAGGGAACACAGAGCGTATCTCAAGAGGGCTGTGCAGCACCGAGCTGTTGTCCTGCGGGCAGAGGAGGGGTTGTCACCAAGAATGGTGGCTGTCCATCCACCCGCCAGGTGTGGGACGGCCAGGAACTCCTGCTCCAGCTGCGTACAGCTTCATTTATAATTTATCAGAAGGATGGGCAGGAAACAGGCTGCTTCTCAGCTTCTGCTGATGGAAAATCAATGGAGCCAAGTCTAGGTCCTGCCTTTAGCCAGCACTGTGACTTCCACGCTTGCTTGCAGCAGCCTGCTCATCCCAGAGGCTGGGGAAGCTGGTGGCACGTGGGGAAGCTGGTGGCACACGGAGATAACGAGTCCTGGGGAGTTTGTGATGGTAACAAGCTCACAGAAAGGCCACTTTGGGGGAGATGCTGCAATTAGCAAACAGCAGTGATCAGCACGTCGCGGGGTCGCATTGCGGTCATCACCCCAAATGGCTTTGAGCGTTCTCCAAACCCCTCATCGTAGCTGGCATGGGGGTCAGGAGGAGCGTTGAGGGGTGGTGGGCTCAGACAGAGCTTCTGGTCCCCCCCTGCCATGACTGGGCCACTGCAGCCCCTGGCCTGGGCAGTGGGTACTACGGTGTGGGGTCCCCAGAGCTGCTGCCTGGCTGCTGGGGAGATGTGGGATGCGCTGGAGCTGCAGGGCGGTGGTGAAGGACATGCCACCCCCTCCCTCCATCAGCTGAGGGTCTCCACAGCTGTTTCTGGCTGGGCTTTGGGGAGATGAGCAGTAGGTGACATTCCCTGTGCTTAAGGGAAATAGGGGCTCCAGGAGAGCTGGGGAGGGACTCTGGATCAGGGAGGGGAGTGATGGGATGAAGAGGAATGGCTTTAAGCTTAAAGAGGGGAGATTGAGATGAGATATTAGGAAGAAATCCTTTGCTGTGCAGGTGGTGATCCCCTGGGGCAGGTTGCCCCAAGAAGCTGTGGCTGCCCCATCCCTGGAGGTGTTCAAGGCCAGGTTGGACAGGGCTTGGAGCAACCTGGGCTGGTGGGAGGTGTCCCTGCCCAGGGCAGGGGGTGGCACTGGAGGGTCCTCAAGGTCCCTTCCAACCTAAATTATTCTGTGATTCTATGAAATATGGAAGAAGAGGGGATCTCTGCTACATCCAAAAAATTTTGGAGACGTTTGTGCAAGGAGATTAAACACACGATAAGAGATGGGAGGCAGACGCATATGAATTAGTGAAGTTCAAAGGTGTTATTCTCCATTAAACCAGAGCTGGACGGGCAGCAGCTCCCTGCAGGGTTTCGATGGTGCCCTGAGTCAGACATTAATTTGTGGCAAAATCTCTGGCAACACATAAAACTTGGGAGCGTGTGGGAGGTGGAGGAGCCTGTCTGTTTTTCATAAACGTATTTGTCTCTTCACTAAATAACTTAGCGTCCTTAAGACAGCGTTTAAATACGGCCGCTGAGCCTGCCATGCTGTTTGCTGTGACTGAGGTCCAAATCCCATAAACGGGCGGGGATTAGGATCCCTGAGGAGCCTCATCAATTTTCAAAATCCCTTCAAAAGCGAAGCGACTGTGCTTCTCGCAGAAGAAAAATCTGTAAACGCAATTTTTTTTTTTTTTTTACTGTCTTTACTTACTCTTTACTGAAGAGGACGCACACCCAGGGTAGGGCTGTGGCCGCGGGATGGGTGCGAGGAGGAACCCGAGCCACCGCCTCCGCCCGGAAAGAGC